CTCAAAAATGGCTCCCCTTAATGACTCTGGAATGACCGGAAACGCTTGAACAAGGAATCAAAAACCAACATTATCATTTTCTCAGCTCATTCTTACCTTTTAAACGATACTAAATTTGACACCGGTAACATTTTTATAATCGAAAAAGTTCCGAATGGGATAATATTTAAGAGATACCCTCGATGCGTCAGTGACATGGAGTAAGCTGGTGTAGCTAAGTGGTATAGCGTTGGTCTCGTAAACCAAAGGTCCTGGTTTCAAATACCAGCATCAGCAAATTTTACGTACACCCCCTTTTATTTTGGGTTTTTTCTAAGGCCCTAGTACCTTTTTTTGTTCCAGGCTTCAAGAAAAACCAAAATTTGCATTTTAAAATTTTTTTTGCAAAACTGACTAGTTTTTCGTTTCTATTCTCATTTGTTGTACGTTAAACTTGTGATATAAGCTATTTAAGTATTTTTTGGGTTTTTCTAAGGTCCTGGGTTTCTTTTTTTTATTTCAACTTTCTAGAAAAATTCAAGCTTGACCGTTTTTGATTTTTTTTGAAAAACTGCTAAAATTTTTTATTAATTAACCCTGCACGTTTAAACATTAAAAACCAAAGAGCTGAAACTGGTTGTTTTTAATTAGCTAGGGAAACCGAAAGCAACAGGAAACATACACAAAAAAGAGCCTTGTGCATGATGTCATAAATTTTCAAAACTTTGTTTTCAGTGAAATGCTTTTAAGATCTTCTTTTTTCTGTTTGGCGACCAAAAATAGGGCGTTCCCTAATAAAAAGGCTTGACTGTACTGTCTAAAAGCAGTACAAAAGTATGAAAGAAATCAACTTTAATCCTCGCTAACTCCGTTTGCAAAACTTTCATCGCCGGAAGTTGACATCGTCCAAGTGGCGTCAGACCTTGCCGCCCTAGGCTGTGCACCGCTCCACTGGAACAACTGATCTCCCCTGACAACCCAAGGCAAAAGCTTCGGCAAGTTAAAAGGTAAAAGTTGCAAAATAATTCGCTAGGTAGCGCTCGAGCTTGAGCAGTAATCGGTAAACAACAAATATCAGACGACACTGAGCTAAAAGATGCCGTTTTGTCACACCTAATTGGGACACACAACGCGCTGCTATTACTAGAATGGCGAGCATTATCGAGTATCAAGGTCACGGAGAAGGGGCCCGGAACTGTGGTTACTGCAAGACAAAAAGCAATAACGACTTTACCTTTGGTAAGAGACTTTAATTCTCCGATCCAAAGAGAAGCTTTTGTGCTGATTTTCTAACGTGTTCTTTCTAGGAATGTGGGCTCATCAGTTGACAGCTCAAGAGTATCAAAGCCTAATTGACCGAAACTGGAGAAGAAGCGGCAAGTACTGCTACAAACCGATAAACGACAAAATATGCTGTCCAATGTACACAATCAGATGTGATGCTGAGAACTTCAAACTTCGCAGATCTCACAAAAGGGTGATCAAGAACTTTAATAATTTCATCAAATATGGAACAAAGCTTACAAGGGCTGCTAAAACTAAAGACGACAGTCAAACTGTAGATATGGATGATTGCAAAGAACAACGTGCCAAAGCTCAACAATCTGCAAGCAACTTTGATGAGAATGCCAAGTTTAAGCACTTCCAAGAGGGCACTTCTTCAAATGAAGCTCTTAGTACCTCTTCAGTGTTAAAGACGAAAAGTGATCAACTCAAGTCAACTATTACAGTCAACGAAACGGATGCTTGTACTTCACCTAAGAAAACAAAAGCGAATAATCCTAGCAAGAAGAAGTACATGCGAAGACAAAAACTGATTGCCAAGATCGTCAAGCGGCAATCATGCTCTGAAGAAGAAGCGAAGCAAATTTTGTTTGAGCGTTCCGAACAAAAACGGAAAACTAAAACATTAGAAGAGTTCCTTTCTGAATCCTCTAATTGTCCGGAAGTGAAACATGTCTTTAAGGTATTAATAACAAAACATCAGCTTTTAAAACTTTTTATACTTATCACTTTTCGGTTTGCAGAAAAAGTTCATTCCGCTTAGCACAAAGGGTGCACCCAATGCGTTTGAGCTGTCGTATAATGTTTTTCGGAAATATCAAATGAATATTCATATGGAACCTGAGCGAAAAGTTTCTTACCGAGGATTCACCCAGTTTCTAGTTGATTCGCCTATCAAGGTAAAACACTTTTCTGCTTTTATAATTTGTAACTAGTGTTTTTTGTTTTGTAATAGTACCAATCAGTCGGTGCTCCCATAAATTCATCAGAATCTGGTGATATGGTACGCTTTTACGGTTCATTTCATCAGCACTACTACATTGACGAAAGATTGATTGCCGTTGCTGTGCTCGACATTCTTCCGAACTGTATCTCTTCAGTCTATCTCTACTACGATCCAGAGTTTAGTTTTCTCAATCTGGGTGTTTACTCTGCTTTAACGTAAGTGCCCCCGACTTACTACACGGTGCATTTTACTAACAATATTTTTGTAGGGAGATTGCTTTGGTGAGAAAGTTTATGAAATTTTTACCCGATCTGAAGTATTACTATATGGGCTATTACATTGATTCTTGCCCAAAGATGAAATACAAGGTACGTTTGGTTTTTTAACTTTAATATTTAAATTACATTTGGTTTTAACAGGGCCAGTTTTTGCCCTCTGACCTGTTGTGCTGTGAAACATTTCGCTGGGTTTCTCTCGAGTCCTGCACTGCAAAGCTGCTAGCAAAAAAACGACCTTATGCCCGATTCTGCGATGATCTTTCGGTGGAGGACAATGATGGGAAAGTAGACGATAAGACGGTGAAGTTGCTGTACGAAGATACAGTCATCGATTTACAATCGGCTCGCCTCAAGTACTCACTGAAAAGTACCACTGTGAAGCTTATCCGAGAATACGCCAGTTTAGTTGGCAAAACCTGTGCGTCGAGCCTTATCTACTACTTATCAAAGCAATAACTACAAGTGGGTTTCTTAATAAAATAAACTGTTTTACTCATAATTGTTTTTCTTTGAATAATGCAGTAATTGTGTTGTTGTGAACATGTCAGTTATACATGACGTCATCTCACCACAAACTAGTAAATATTTTGCAAGTGTACTTTATATGCCCTAGAAGACAGTCACATCTTCGTCGTTGTTGTTCACTTCACGGTCAAAACTTTTTGATTTTCCATTGAGTGCTTTCACACCTGAAGCAACAGCAGCATCAGGAACTTTAACTGGAGATTGTCGCACTCCATTTGCAGATCCGTCTCCTTCAGCAGCACTTCGGTAGCCCATAGGGTTCTTTGACTGCCAGTTCCAGCTATGAGCGCACATGTCCGCCAGACTTCGAGTTGGCTTCCAGTTGAGGGCTGAACTGGCTTTGCTTATATCAGCCCACAGCTCGTCGACATCTCCGCAGCGACGATCGCAGATTTTATATGGAATCGGCACTCCAGTTGCCTCCTCAAATGTAGAAATCATCTGCAAAAAAACTTAATTACAATTTGTAAAGAAGGAAACAATGTAAACGTACTTCGAGAACCGAATATCCGGTTCCAGCACCGAGGTTGTAGACGTTCCAGCCTGTCCATCCTTCCTGCAGTATCTTGTCCAGTGTGATTACATGCCCTGCTGCCAAGTCCATGATGTGAATGTAGTCTCGTACGCCAGTGCCGTCTTTGGTTTTAAAGTCCTTTCCAAGCACCTTCAGGAAAGGCTGTCTTCCAACTGCCACCTGGGTAATGTACGGCATCAAGTTGTTGGGAACTTTGCAGTCTTCACCAATGATTCCTGTGTTGTTCAGTGAAATTCAGTTTAAATAGAATTCATTGACTTGACCATTAACATACCTGAAGGATGAGCACCGACTGGATTAAAGTACCGCAACGAGGTAATGCTCCAGCCTGTCTCCGAGGCGCAGAGATCTTTGAGAATCTCCTCAATGAAGTACTTGGTGCGACCATATGGATTGGTGCAGTTGCGTCCAGTGTGGTGCTCCTCGGTGATGGGCAGGAACTCTGGAGTGCCGTAGACAGTGGCCGACGAAGAGAAGATCAGTCGGCGAACTGAATGAGCTCGCATGGTGTCCAGCAGTGTCATGGTTCCGCCCACATTGTTGCGATAGTATTCCAGGGGAATCTTGCACGATTCACCCACTGCTTTGAGGGACGCAAAGTGGACCACAGCTGAGAAGCGGTGCTTGCTGAAGATGTCCTCCAGTTCGGTGGCATTGTTGAGATCTGCTTTGTAGTAGGCTAGCAAGCTTCGACCGGTGATGCTCTGCACTCGCTGCAGACTCTCCGGCAAAGTGTCAGGCAAATGGCCCTCTACTGCGTTGATGCAGTTGTCCAGCGCCACCACATCATAGCCGCTTGTGAGCAGCTCAACTAAGCAGTGTGAACCAACGTAGCCGGCAGCTCCGGTAACCAGAATAAGGTGAGGGCTCACTGGAGCAGTCATGGTTAAAAGTGCTTGAAAATGTGGCAAAAAGAAAATAGCGCTCACTGCTGTATACAGATCAGGGTGGATGACGAGGAAAATCAAACTTTTAGCTGCGCACCTGAACTTGACAAACAAGGCCGGCGCTCACAGGTGGCAGATAACTTTCAGTTTATCAGCTGATTTTTATCAGAGGATGAATTGCTTTTAAATAACCGTGTGATTCGGCAATGTTTAACATCAACTGAAAAATTTAAGTGATCAAATGAACTTCTGTGATCGCGCGCGCAGTAATAAACTTGAGTAACCTGGGTTGTCTGTTTATTGTGGTCAAACTGGTTTCCGCTGAAGATGCCGCAGCAGTAGATGGGCTCTGATCACCAGTTCTTCTTGTTCGACATTCNACCTGGGTTGTCTGTTTATTGTGGTCAAACTGGTTTCCGCTGAAGATGCCGCAGCAGTAGATGGGCTCTGATCACCAGTTCTTCTTGTTCGACATTCTTTTACACTTTCGATGCGCAACAAAAGTGAGTTGTGTTAGCTTTCAGTGCTGATGCTAACAGCTGTCTAATCGGTAGAAATTAGAAAATGTTGAGCAACTACTTATTCATGCATGCAGAGTGCGCTTCCGATTGATTACGCTCAATTACTGTAAAACCGGTGATTACAACAGCGGCTCGAAGATGATTTATCGATTTCGTTTTGAACTGGAAACAGTGAATTTATGAGTCACAATATTTGAACACAACTTCAAGTAACTTTTACCTGTTATAGAAATGAAAAGGACTGGAAAGAAGAAGCAAGTGCTTCAAAGATGGCAAACTGACTGCACGTCACAAACCTAAAACAGGCTCAGTTTAATGTATTGCAATTGACGGATCATAAATGATGAGTGCAGCGCATTTGGTTGTAGTGACTTGCCAATAAACACCACAGCTTTAATGACTATTTCTGGCAGTGCAAATGATAGTGTCATGCCAATTGCTGAGTGATTGGCATATGCTGCCGGGGCAGAGGTGAAAAGAAGTGAGGAAAAGGTAAACACTGCTGCTGTCGATGACCCTTACCAGTTATCACTGTGCTCAAGAGGGGAGTGGTGGTGGTGGATTTATTTAGTTGTTGTTGTTGTTGTTGCCGCTGCTGCTGCTCGCTTAGAGCTGCCCAGATGCCACATGGCATTCCAGTAGTCCACTTCTCGCTACGCCGAATGAAAGGTATATAGTCGAGTCTGACTCATGAGCAATCGTCGAGAATAGAACCAGAATCGAACGACTCATAGCTCATTCTCGTGCAGTGCACTAGGAGAAATTTCCTTCACCAGCTGCTTTGGCGCAAGTGCACTACTTTGCGATTGGCGTCCACTGGTTAGAAACGTATTGAGCAGCAGTACACTGCAGTTCAGCTGTGATGCGCTGCACACATTTTGCACCAACAAAGAGTGATCTTGATTGCAATCTTTCTTCCGCTGAGTGAAATTGTTTATGAGAACCAGGATTTAGAGGCANCATAGCCCATTCTCGTGCAGTGCACTAGGAGAAATTTCCTTCACCAGCTGCTTTGGCGCAAGTGCACTACTTTGGGATTGGCGTCCACTGGTTAGAAACGTATTGAGCAGCAGTACACTGCAGTTCAGCTGTGATGCGCTGCACACATTTTGCACCAACAAAGAGTGATCTTGATTGCAATCTTTCTTCCGCTGAGTGAAATTGTTTATGAGAACCAGGATTTAGAGGCAAAGTTGGCCTACAGCAGTACTTGCAGTTGCCTATCTTGCTGGCATACACTTTGTCAGCTGCACCAAAAAATGTACTGATGTTCAAACCATATGTAGCATGTTGACGTCAACAAAGTTTTTTTTATAAAGAAAATGTTTGAATTGACATTGTCGACTTGAGATTGCTATAAACTAAAATCCAACAATTTAAAAATATAAATCAGGCATGATTGTGATATCGAGTTTTGTAAAAAATCTTATAAATAAAAACTATTGCAGAATGTATGGCTCTACGTTGACTGGTTGATTATGACTTGTGACATGAGCTTGTCATGTTCAGAGTGCTGAGAATCGTCTTCGTCCTCCTCTTCATCACTTTCCTCCTTCCGCCTTTCAGACTCGGACAAGACGATGACATCTAATCAACTGTAGCGATACTCGTTGTAGTCACTTTCTTTGAAGTATTTGCCCACATAGGGTACTTCAAGAACAAACTCAAAACCGAGAACGGCCAGATAGGTGCCCAGCTGCAAGAAAATGGGAATTAATACATTTCACA